GAAACCTATTAGCTCACTAAGTAAATAAATAAGCAAAGAAATAAATGTGACAAATTCATCTTAAGTAAGGAATCGAGATTGATCAGTGGAATAAGATTGGCAGTCTAATGAATTTAAAAAAAAGGTAAAAAAAGCCAACATTATCAAATAACAAAAGTTCTTGAATATGAGCTTCATATTCTGTTAAAACTGCTGTTGAAGCTTTTGTTGTTCGCATAGCTTCACATCATTCAGCTAAAGCTGCCTTATTAGAGCATATGCAGAACTTCTCTTTAATGTCCCTTTCTCTCAATGGGACTCTAACTGAAACTCTCATTAATCACTGAGAAACTATATGAGCAGGCTATTCAACCAAGCAACCCTTTGTTCAGTGGCTGCATTTTCTATCAGGGGTCAATTCCCACTATTGGGTTTTTGTTTGTTCGGGGGCGGTGGTGGTTTCTTCTTTCCCATTCAACTTTTAAAATGTTTCTCTTTCCAATGTGCTGTTTCCTAAGAAGATGAAAGAATTACTACAGTTTCCCGCTGGCATTGGGTAAAGCACTTATACAATGATAGAATCATAAATGAGAATAGTTTAATATTGCATGTTTAAATTATGCACACTTAATATCAGGGAGGAAAAAATATATAAATCTTGCACTAGCTTTGTCTTAAGATAAGGTTAATTGATCTACCTGAAGAGATGAAGAATTGAATATAGAGCCTTCTGCATCCAAACCATTGGCTTTCCTATCTATAGTTCTTTCTAGGCACCAATAGGACAGGAAAATATTTTCATTTGCATTTTATTTACACTTACAGCTCATCACTGAAACCGCCTTATGAATTCCTGAAGGATAATATTTTTAATTAAAAGGAACTTCTGTATAAACCGCTGTTGGGCTGTAGACTAGAACAAGATGAAACTTGAAAAACATCCTAGATATGTCTGTCTATAGCAAATGATGGCCATAATACTTTCCAGAAATTTACATGGATGCATCTCAGAAATCAGGAGGAGTGAAGCTTGACCTAAGAACTTGATTTAATGATGACAACAACAACAACAGCATGATCCATCCCAGATCATTTGTCCCACTAATTTCAAAGGATGCTATTTGGTCATATACTTAACTTTCTCACTATACACATATGTTATAAAAAGTTTTCTCTGAATTCCATTGATCACAGATGTGCTTATTTCAATCTGTTTGTGTGCCTATCTGTCTGCCTACCTGTCTTTTTTTATCCATCCATTCTATTCTTCATTCTATGAAGGAAGGTGATTTTGGTGTCCCCTTCTGTTATGGGTAGTTTGCAGTTGATGTCCTACTCTCCCAAGTAATTTGGGGATTTTTTCCTATCACTTTTTTTTATGGATAAGCCATCTATAGTTATTATGGACTTGGGTGGCCTCAAAATTTTATCAAACAAACAAACAAATAAAAATTATTTATTCATCCTCTTAGCATGCTGGGTCTTCCTGCTGTAGTTTTTCTTACACAAATTACACTTCACTTTGTCATCTTGTTTCTGAGGATTCACTATGTTTGTTTCTCCTTCTTGCTCCTTTCTTTTAATGGAATATTTATTGATTACATTTTGGAGTGAAATAAATTCCTATGGCAGAAAGTTATGAATAAATTAGCTATATCATGATTAGCAAATAGAATTGATCTTGCTTCAATCATGCAGATTCAATTAGATATATCTGGACGTTTGAAGATACCAGAATAGGTTTATTTTTAAAGGCAATTGAAACAGCCTGGCAGCAGTTTTGAACTGTCACTGTATTCTGCAGAATTAGAGATTGTGGGAGAGATTTAAGGTTTAAAGCTCTATCTAGTGGTCAAACAAAGAATTAGCAAGCTGAAGAATTTGAGCATTATTCTGGATAAATTCTTGCATGTTATTCTTTGTCCTGAGACAAAATGAACGTTCTTTCATAGATATGTTAAAAGTATTTATCACAAAGAATCTATGCTCTGTTTTATTTGACCAATATAAGAATGTTATTTTGCTTAGGAAATCCTTAGCATATTTATGTAAAAACAGGGACACAGTTTTGAAGTTCAACTTTTATCTTGCAACATTTCAATATTTATAACTGGAAATAAGCATTCTGTATATTGGATATGATCATTCACAGGCACACTATTTTTTATATATAAGAAAATTCTTAAATCTATCAGTTGGGTATATTTAATTTTAATAATATTATATGCTATGCTATGCTATGCTATGCTATGCTATGCATAGATAGATAGATAGATAGATAGATAGATAGATAGATAGATAGATAGATAGATAGATAATAAAAAACCTCTATGGATTCATGAATATTTCTCACTAAATTCAATTGAATTTACTTTAAATGTGGATAGGACTGCAGTTTTGAAAATATATTGCTAGTTTTCAGATTTTAGTAACCATTTGCTGAAATTAGAAGATTGATAACTTTATCAAAATTTATAGCTTTATCAAAAGATGAACAAAAACTGATGTATTCATTCTCAAGTTACATTATTATTATGTTAGTTTTTTAACATATTAATCCAGGAACATTAATTACTGATAGAATTTTAGTCAATCAACTGATTTAGCATTGGCTTTGTTCGCATATAATAAGTGCCAGGATTCTTTTTAAATCAGAGTTTGCTGACCAAATCTTAATGATCACGTTTTCATTCTATAGTAACATTAAACCACAATGAGGATTTTCACACAGCGCTGCAAGTCAAACAAAGTATTCACTTTATGTTTTAATGTGATGCATGAGCCCAGTCACTGAGCAACAGGAAACTAGGAGAAATTTCCTTTTTAAAACTACACAGTTCAAAGGAATCTCCTAAGCATATAGCAGCTTTCAGGAGCCTGGCCCTCTCCCAGTCTGATAGAACAACTTCTTGCATTCTGATTGGACACCAGGCATTCCTCCTTCTGACCCATTTGGAATTTGGGATTTGGAATTTTCATCATCATAAAACTTTGCTTGGCTAATTAAGCCAATCTTCATCTTCCCATATTGTTTTGCAAGCTAAAATTGGCTACTCTGAAGGGTTAAGAAGAATAGGCAGTCCTATTTGCCTTGGAGTGCCATCCTGAGGTTCAGGATGTAATTTCTGTCCTCAGATGTTTACATTGATGGACAAGCTTGTATTAGGAAGGTGTAGGTCTGTGTGTGTGTGTGTGTGTGTGTATTTGTGTGTGTGTATGTTGGAAACATGCATAAGAGGCATTCATCCTAAAGTGGATATATACACACATATGCACATGAGAACACTCACTCACACACACACACACACACACAGGGCTTAACTGTATTATCAGCTCCAAATTGGTATATATTCTCATATATATATGCCTCTTCCAGGTGCTTTTTTAAATAATATTTTATTAATTTTCCAAATTTACATCTGAGTATTTAAAAAGCAACTTGGTGACTGGGTTAATCAACAGTTCAATAACAAAATCTTTAGTGCAAATCTCAGGTTGCCACATCAGCTATTCCTTCTCTTTTTCCCTTAACATTTACTGTCTGGTATTCAAGCTAGTACATTTCTTAATTATATCAACTCAATAAAAACATCATTATTACATTTATCAATAATTTTTTTTAGTTTGCACATATCTTAATTACATTCAATCTTCATAAACAATCCATATCCTGTTATTTTCAACCAAGAAGTTCCAGAGTTTTCTTTTGCCTATATATAAAAGAAAGAATTCTATTCTTTAGAATATACCTATTTGGAGCTGATCATATAGAAATAGCTAATTTACAGTTAGGTATGGATTTTTAAAAAGTGCCTTTATATTGCCTGTTTTCTAGAACTCAAGAGCACTAGCACCCCCTTTCCCTCACGCGGGCTGCCCTGCAGATGCTGTTCTTCGTTTTGCAGCTTTCCTCAATTCAAGGCGCTGTTGCATCAGCCGACGCGCTTGGGCACCTTGGGGAACAAAGACGGCGGGACGGGGGGGGGAGGAGAGGGAGAGGCGATTTTCCGGGTCATTTGGCAATTGCATTCAGATTTAAACTTCCTTTAATCGCCCCGCAGTTCTTCTCTCCCTCCTTCCCCCAAATGTGTGGTCCCTGACGCGTAACCGCCCTTTGCCTTGCTCCTCTGCTTTCGACAGATGCCCGCGTGGAAAGGAAGCTCTGTTTTTGCACGGGTTGCACGCAACAGTGTATAGGTGTGCAAATAACAAAAAAAAAAAAAAAAACAATCCCCGAATACAATCCCTTCCCAGTCAAATAGGCTTTGCTCTCGTTTTTTGAGGAGGGAGGGAGCAGAGAGGTCTTGTGGGGGGGTGTGTGTGCGATTTTGAAAAAAGCCCCCGTTTCTTTGCTTTCTCTCTCCCTCTCTCCAGAAGTTCCCGCTCTTCTGCTTTGCAAGCCGACCTCGCGGCTGTGGCTATTCTTTTACACCTCGGGACTTCAACGGATTGGGAGGGCAGCCGGGTAGGGGAAGGAAAGAGCGGCTTCGAAAAGAGAATCCCACCGGCGAGGGGGGCTTTCTCTCCCGCGACCGATCCAAGGCTGCCAAAGCCCAGGAAGGCGAGGCGAGTTAGAGAAGAGTGCTGGAGATCTGGGAAGCCATCCCCGGTTAAATGAGAGCTGCTACGTCCCGGAGCAGGTCAGAAGCCGAAGCCCGAAGGGTGTCCCCTGGGCTGTGATGTCATCCAGATCAATACGACGGGGCGGGAATTGGCCGGAGCACTTGCTCAGGAGCGGGGTCTGTATTGGAATCGGGACTCGCCTTATCGATTGGGCTGATCGGCGAGAGCTATAAAAGGAAGGGGCTCGCCTGCTGCTTCCCACCATTCGCTTCCGAAGCCCCTCCATCTGCCCCCGGCTGGGCTCTCTCTCTCGCCCTCTCCCCATCTCCAGCGCAGGAACCTCGCGGCGCGGTGCTTACGGTCCCTCGGCTTGGAGGGAAGCCGCCCCCCCCCCACACTTCTCTCTTTCTCTCTCTCTCTCTCTCTCCCCTCCACCACGAGCCACTCGTTCTGCTAGGATGGGGATGCAGGTCGGCAAAGCCGGCGCCGCGTCCCTGGTTCTGCTGGGCCTTTGCTTCGCTGCCGCGGTCAAGTCGGTGCCTCTGGCCGATGCCGGACCGCACGTCTACTACGGCTGGGGGGACCCTATCCGGGTCAGGCACCTCTACACGGCCAGCCGGCACGGACTGTTCAGCTATTTCCTGAGGATCCACGGCGACGGCCGTGTGGACGGCGCCGCTAGTCAGAGCCGACACAGTAAGTAGCATCAACGCTCCGACCTGGGTCCTTCCTCCCACTTTCCGCGGGGACACCTTCCGCCAGGTCCCTCCCCCGCTTTTGGAAGCTGACGCTTTGGCTCGGGGAGCTCCCCTCGTCTCGCTGCGGTTTAACCCCAGCCATTACCCCCCCCCCGCGCGCGCGCTTCCTTTTCGCGTGGCCCTTTGAATCTGCGCCCCCGGAGAAGGGAGGAAAACCCAGATCCTGAAAGAACCCCCGGGGGCTTGGGGGTGGGCTTTTTCTGTTCCCCTGATCACGCCGAGGACTTTGGTGGGGCCACCCACCCAATTGCTCTCTCGCCTTTACAGAGACCCCTGCTTTTGTTCACGGGCTCAGTCTATCCTTCCCGTGGAAGGCGCGCGTCTGAGTGGGGGGGAGGGAGACAGACCTTTTCCTTTCCTTTCCCCAAGGGCAGGGGTAGGCAACCTTGGCTCTTTTATGACTCGTGGACTTCAACTCCCAGAATTCCTGAGCCAGCATAGCTCGCTCAGAACTCGCTCGGCTGGCTCAGGAATTCTGGGAGTTGAAGTCCACGAGTCATAAAAGAGCCAAGCTTGCCTACCCCTACCCAAGGGCTATTTTCCCTCCCACGGAGTACACGAACTCTACAAAACGGTTTGTTTGTCTCGCCGCGCAGGTTTGCTGGAGATCCGAGCAGTAGCGCTTCGCACCGTAGCCATCAAGGGCGTGCACAGCTCTCGCTACCTGTGCATGGAAGAGGAAGGCGGGCTGCACGGGCTGGTAAGTGACTTGAAGCTGCATAAAAACCCCCGGGGGCAAGCGAAGCCTTCTCTACGTATCCTTTCATCCCGGTCGGGAACGGCTTTGTCTGCCTCTCCGCTCGCAAAAAGTAGGCGAGACGCGCCCCACGCGGAGGACTCGGACAGAGTTGCGCGCCAAAGGTCCTTTAAACGAGGCGGGAAGGGAACGCGCTTTTCTGGCTCTTTAAAGTAAAGGTTGTAGCATGAAAGAAGGAGTTTAACTTTAGAGGCGATTTGGGCTGGCCAGAGAAGAAGGACGGGGCGGGGGGGGCTTCACACAGGAGCACCGAGTGTTGCAGGACACTGAATAATTTACACTGGGTTTCGGAGCGAATAATGGGATGAAAGAGAGCAACGGTCTTGGGAGCTACTTCCGCAGCGCTGCTGTGGCAGCTCACAGGCGGACCCAGCCACATTCCAGAACTTAAGACTACAGAGTTACTGTTTGTTTACGTTTCTTTGGGGACCTGTTTTCGGGGCGCCAGGCAGAAGATAGATCCTTATCGCGCCCTGTCCTCACGGTAACCTTTGAGGGAGGGGAGGCTGAGAAATAAGCCCGTAAATCCCTTTAGAGGCCACCCACTACGTTTGCTGGCTCGCTAGAGATTTCTGACTGGGTCCCCCCCCCCCATCCCTGCATCCAAATACAAGCTCTCCATCCCTGGCATTGCAGTCACTTTCAGAAAAGATTCTGGGCCTTGCATTCTTCATTGCCTAATGTTTCCTTCTATTCGAGAAGGCATTCAGATTCACAAAGCTTTCTGTTGGTTATTCACCTTGGGAGGGTGGGATTATTTCATCATTCAGGTGGCTAGGTGGAAAATAATAAAAGTTAGGTTCTATTTCTGATCAATTAATGAGACCCCTTTACGCGGTGTGTACCCTTTCCATTGTGTTGGTAGCAAACACACAATTGTATAGGAGCTAGAGCTGGTATTACAGCAGAATCCAAGGGACAGTAAACTAACTATTGACTCCCATCTGCTGGTCATCTGGATCTTTGCAGCACAGGTGTGACACACTCTGAAAACCGATTTTAAAAAAGCCTGCAGAAAGGGGAGTGTTGAGGATTAGTAAGCAGGATAAATAAGAATAAACAGAACGCTTGTTGTCTCTGGCTACCGCAACCTTTGAGCAGCAGTAATGTGCTATGTAATGGCTCAGTAGCAGAACAGTAGGCAAGATGTAGAACTCTTTTTATTTAGATTTAAAAAGTCCAAATGGCCAGAGTTATAGATAAAAAAATTCTTTTATAACTGGTAATGAATGAAGCACTTAAATATTAACTTAAATACTTTGGGTCTTTTTTTTTTTACTGTTTTCTCCACACCAAGTATAGGTATTAGGTAGCATATAAGATTAATAATAAATAAGTATAAATAAAGAAATAAATATCCTAGGAAATACTGATAAGTAGCAATGGTCATGCTCCCCATACCAAATCAGCATTACACAGCTCCCGCAATTACCCAAATGTAACTGCTCACCAGAAGTTGTTCTGCCCTATTGAAATTAATATTCCTAATGCAATTTCAAATAGGAAAATGAGTATACAGCAAGTTGCAGTACATTAAACTAGAGCCCTCGTTCAACTAACCTCCAAGAAAACCCCTCCATTTTTAATCCTTTTGTTTTCATTGATCTTCTAGCGACTGAATGCGTAGTTGATGACACAGCAATATTTTTGACTCATTTTTGGCTGGGAAGGGCATTCTTCACTGCTTTAAAGCATAATTTTATCAATTTACACTCCAGGATTTTTTCCTGATCATCCCAGACTTGGGATTTTCCCATGCAAATAATTGCTTTACTTCTGCTATATATGTAGGTGCATTTTCATAGGTAATATATATATAATGCTTCTTACATGTTCTTAAAGGCATAACTTTAGATAATGACTATCACTGTTTCCATTCATAATGCTTAGACTGTTATATTAAAATTCACTTCCTTTCAAATATGCTAAAAGTTAGCTTTTCAATAGTAAATAGAGATTTAAGCAGAGGGCTTCAAATCTGATGTGATTTCTGCTTGTAAACAACAATAATACCGTTTAAAGCTGTCTCATCATTAAAATAAAGATTAGCATTTATCCTCCCAAAGTATTGCTTATCTGTGTAATTTTGTGCAATTATACCTATTTAGAACTAAACCTTCCTAAGCATACCACTAAATACACTCCATTAAACTCTGAATTGTGAGGTTGTTTTTATTTTAATTAACCAATTAATCAATAAAATAAAACAGACTATAGTCTTACACACCACAGAGGTACAATTGTTTGATGGCCCGTGGCCACAATAATTGGGACAATTTACTTATTGCTTGTATTTCTCCTTTTTTCCAAGTGCTTAAAAGCAGTGTTCATAGCATCCACTTGTCCAGTTTTCTTTACAAGCCTGCAACGTAGTTTTGCCTGAAAGATAATGAACAGCCCCAAATATTCAGTGATCTTCCATAACTGAAGCAGGGTTTTAAATCAGGGTTTTAAATCAGGGTTTAAATCTGTATTTCCCTGGGTTTATCGTGTTGGTGGGAGGAGTTTTGGATTTACTTCTTTAAACAGTTGAGCCTATTGTAGGCCCTGCCCTACAATTTTTGCAAAGTTTTCCTACTCAGTTCCTACCATACTCCAAAATGGTGGCAAAGCGTGGTACTGATTTTCAAAGTGGTGCTATTAAGTGATTTTCATGACAGCAACTTCACATTTCAAGCCGTTTGCTAATCTTGACAAAGAGTAAAGCATGTTTTCCAAATGACTGACAGCCCGATCTATTGGTGAAGAAGCAATTTTAAATCTGTTTTGTCTCTTTGAAGCGATTCTGCTATAAAATATTCAGCAATAATTGGTGGGGGGTGGGTGATGGGATTTTTTTTTCAGTCTGTTTTGCATGTCAGATAAACGTATGGTTCACATGCTTGACTGAGAAAGAGCTTGTGCAAGAACACCGCTTCTCTTATCATTGAAGCATTCTACGTAATCAGCAATACTTTTTTATTGACCAAGAGTTCAGTTACCTCTAATGACTGAACCAGAGTAACTCCAGAGTTTTAGGAAAAACAACAGTGGCAGAAAGGGACTAAAACGTTCTGAAATGATGGCCACCTTCTTCGTAGCGTTAACATTTCTGAATTAAGAATGAAACACTGTAGTTTCTGTTGCTCTGAATATACAATATAACAAATGTTTATTCCATTACATCGCCAGACAAGTTTTATTCCAGCTTCCCCCAGTTTGGTGGTCCTGGGTTTCAGTTTCCAGCAGAATGTCCAGTAATTTGGGGAACTAAAGTTCAGTTAGGGCTATTGGATATGGGTTGGATAAACATGGATGAACACGAGAGGGCAGGAAAGAGAGTTCTCTAAAGGTCTTTCTGACTTTCTAGTGATTTCTTAAGTCTGTTACATGACTAAGTCTGTGGGAATTTCCTAGTGGGAAGGCACTGTGGTTCCCACCAAATAAAAAGGCATACATAAAACGTATATTTATTAAAAGGCAAACCCTCTCCCCTAACAACTTATACAGGTAGCCCTTGACTTCCCACCACAATTGAACCTAAAATTTCTGATGTGAGACGGTTAAGTAAGTTTTGCCCCATTTTACCACCTTTCCTGGCACAGTTGTTAAATGAATCTGGCTTCCCCTTTAACTTTGCCTATCAGGAGGTCACAAAACGTGACCACATGACCCTGGGACACTGCAACCGTCATAAATAGGAGTCAGTTGCCAAGCGTCAATCACATGACCAGGGGGATGCAGCAACAGTCATCAGTGTGAAAAACGGTCAGGTCACTTTTTCAGTGCCACGGTCACTTTGAACCGTCACGGTTGTAAGTTGAGGACTACCTGTATTTCTGTTAGATTGTTCTGGAGTATGTATTGAGAAACAGACCCATTACCAACTGTAAAAATGGCTGGATGGCGCCGTCCTTAAGCAACCATTGTGCAAAGGTTGCTCTGGCATCATCGAATACAATACGCAATTTTTATGGCCCAAGGTTTGCAGCTAATCTGAGTATGCTGGGCTATTTTGCCAAAAGTACTTATACTATTTCATTAATAGTTAATACAAACTAAATGTAATTGATATGAATAATTCCAAGCATTGTACTTAATAGTTTTCTATTTCTGTTACATTAAAAATTAATGTTGGTAATGTCCTTTGTTGATCTTTGAAGGCTGCAACTAAGACTTCCAGGTTTAATTCCACACTAGAGCCTTATGTCACATATCTCTGGAATAGCCTTTATAACAATCTTTATTCCATTATTTGCATAATTCAATTTTTTTGCATCTGTGTTTTTTATAGAATATAGAAATCATAATCTAGAGCAAGGGTAGACAAACTGGTATGCACCAGGTTGTTTTGGCTACAATTCTAACAATTGTTTACCATTAGCCATGCTGCTAAAACTATTGAGAACTGAAGCTCAAAATATCTGGAAGTTACCTGATCTAAGCAGATGCCGAACTGAGATACTGAAAGGGCATAAATAAATCAGATTGACACTGCTTATTTGCTCCATTAGGTGGTTAAAAAAAGAAACTCATTCAGTACTTTAACCCATAATTAAGACTTGCATGACAACATTTTTATCATGCTCCAGTCTCATTTTCTATGACACTTTCTTTGTTGTTTTCCATATTAATCCGCACAAAAGCATTCAGACCGAGCTATGATAATTCCTTTATTTTTTTATTCATAGTGAAAACAAAGCATGAGCAATAAATTACTTGATGGGCAATCAGGAATTAAAAATATTTCTTTCCTTCCCATCAAATAAAATTGGAGAAATCAAAATGAACCTTGTTGTAAAATTGATCACCATCCCTTAGTAACCTGTTACAGACTATATATTTAAATGCTTCTTATAACCTAATTTATAAATACCTCATCTGTTTCTTCTTGAGATCCCCTAAGATTATTTTTGCTCTGCGAAATAAGAAATCCAATTTAATCTCTCTAAGGAATATCATATTTAATTATCTTGTAGCCAAATAGATAATTCCACTGATTATCTGGATAAACAATGTTGCTTCATCTGCCATTTCAGAGACTTATAAACTCATGTAGTATGTAATGTTTACTTTTTTTTCCAGCTCATATATACCACAGAGAATTGCTCTTTTGAAGAGGAGATACGTCCAGATGGCTACAACATCTACAAGTCAAAGAAATATGGAATTCTACTGTCTTTAAGTAATGCCAGGCAAAGACAACAATACAAAGGAAAAGACTTTCTTCCATTATCTCATTTCCTACCTATGATGAACACTGTGCCAGTGGAAGATTTTGGAGAATATAGTGATACCAGGCAAAATTTGGAATCTGGTATTTTTCAACAACCAGTTAAAACTGACAGCATGGATCCCTTTGGTATCACTTCTGAAGTATCCTTAGTACAGAGTCCTAGTTTTGGTTAGTAACTTCTGTTTCTTTAATTAGATTTTATAAAGATGTTATGAAGAGGTTAGGATTGTATTTTTTTTGAAGTGATAACTTAAAACATGACAAACGTGTAGATAGGATTACCACCTTTGTAAAACAATACTAATTCCAAGAAAGCTACCCTCATTCACCCTCTTTGTCATCTATACAAAGTACTTAGAAAAGTTCCTTCTAAATGTTTTATTTAGGAATGAGAAACATTCAAAGCCTGCAGAATTTCTTTTGTTTGGAAGATCTTTGGACAGATAAACCCATAGAAATTCTACTGCTTCATTACTTCCAATTACCTCGGAGTCCCAATAACTGCTGCTCATTCAAATGTAATTCCCATTCAATGTATATAGAATAGAATAGAACAGAACAGAACAGAGCTGAAAGGGACCTTGGAAGTCTTCTAGTCCAGCCCCCCCCCCCGCGCTCAAGCAGGAGAACCTATACCAGTGGTGGCAAACCTATGGCACGAGTTCCAGAGAAGGAACTCAGAGCACTCTTTGTGGGCACATAGGCCATCGCTCCAGCCCCGCCTCCCCCATGGCCCCCTCCTCATCAGCAGCCCCCCTAGAGGAGAGTCGCCCCTGGGCATGGCCTGCGCAGAGCAGCGCAGCCAAGAACATGGCAGCTGGGCAGCAGGGACAAGACCCCACCCTCACGCCCTGTCACTTGCAGATGCTGCTGTGGGGCACGGACGGAGGGCGTGGCCGCCATGGCGCTGCTGGGCTGCCTGGGCGATCTCCTGCAGTGGGCCATGGAGGCGGTGGGTGGCTCTGCAGGTGGGTGAGGGTGGGGCAGAGCGGGGCGGGTCAGGGGGCTGGGTGGTTTTTGGCACTCGGTCTCTACAAGGTTTGCCATCACTGACCTATACCATCTCAGACAAGTGACTGTCCAGTCTCTTCTTAAAAACCTCCAGTGATGGAGCGCCCATGATTTCTGAAGGCAAGCTTTTCCACTGGTTAATTTTCCTCACTGTTAGGAACTTTCTCATTTAAACAGAATAGTGTTAGAAATAAATTAGCCACAACTAAGTAAACAAAAGGGACTTATGCATTTTGATACATGCTAGATCTCATAATGTTTTGCAGGCTTTTGCTGTGTTTTTAAGGAAATTGGCTATTGGGAGGTAATTATCATAATTAAGATAATATAAACTTCAATCAATAGGAGAAATTAAATAATAGCGCTGCCATGTTTTAGCAAGACACTGTTTGTTTTTAAATGGTATAAAGACGTTCCAGTGATGTGAGTTTGATCAGGAACAATTGCAATGGTGTGAAGAACTAAAGTTTTGAAAAAATACAATTAGTTAGGCTGCTATCTGGGAAAGCAAGCAAATAGTGATGCAGCTAAATTCTTCTGATTTCTCTGTAGATTGTCAACAAGTATCTATTTTGCTTACTAAACAATGTTGTAAAACTAAAATGTGTGCTTCTTTAGACGTGCCATAAAATGTAAAATCTCTATTCAGTTTTAATCATTCACTTACAGATTGGATAAGTCTGTCCAAACAATTTCTTTTTCAATGAAAATAACATTAATTCTCAACAAACATAGATAGCTACATTTTCTCCCAACCAGTTACTTCCTGATGTGCTGTGACTGAATTCCCAGAGTTCTCAGACACTGCCTAATTCATCTCAGTAGCTCCAGGTGGAAGAAGACAGGCCGAATAGATAAAAGCGGCCATTTCCTTTGGGAGATGCTTTGGATGTAGTCCAGTCTGTTTTAAATTCCTACTGAAAGTGATGCAATATAATTCACATTAAAATTAGCAGTAGTTCCCAAAGGTGTTGTTCAAAAAGACTTTCTTGTTTCTTTTTCCTTCAAAACGTTTTGCTTCTCATCCAAAAAGCTTCTTCAATAAGAAATGAAATGTTTTCAAGGAAAAACAAAAACAAGAAAAGCCTTTTGAACAATATCTTTGGGCAACCATGGCCTGGATAACTGGCAATCTCCATAGACATTTAGCAGGATTTTATATATTTTTTTTTGTATGACATTTTACAAGTTAAGATTTCAATAATTACATTTTGGAAATTTGAAATAATGTTTGGGACATTATTCTTTTAAAAAAGTTATTGTATATAATAATAAGGTTGTACAGAAATCAGAAGAAAGCATTTTCTTCAACTAGCACTTCATTGTCAATGCTCTATTTATGATTAATTTATTAAACACATACATCTGTTTATTTTCTTACTGTATTTATACTTAAATGTATATTTATGTATTCCAATTTTGCCTTTTTGAACACTGGATAATATGTAGTGGATTTTTGTAATCGTAAAATGGTAAAAAAGCAAATCTTTAAGAATTATGTGTAAAAACTTTAGTTGTAGAGTGTAACATTTTAATAGAAATAAAACATTATAAAACACATGTCACCTGACTTCCTTTAAGTAATAACACATGGTTTAACCTTTGAAATACATTTAGCTAGTAAAAGTTGGATAATTGTGATCTGAACATATTTTGCGAGTTACTCAAACATGCATACAATTTTGTATTCAATTTGATTCAGGTTTTAAACAACTATCCAGCACACATTGAGATCTTGTCTGCAAATATGATTATTGTCTCTCCTCCCACTGGTGTCTCAAAAGGTTTTATCTCTTTATCTATCTTTTCTGGATAGTTTCAAGACAATTGTTGCAACTTTCAATACTCGTATACTTGCCTCTTTATAGTAGCTGTTTTTTTTTTTTAAGAATTTGAAAGGCAATGATTCCATTTTGATTTGTAGGGCAGATTTATATGGAAGATTGTACAGATTAACATGGCTTTATTTATTTTTATTAAAAGTTTTTAAAAAATTATATAATATGTATCCCAAATCCCTCCCCCCCTCCCCCACTTCCCAGAGCTGATTACAGGGTTACAAATAAACAATCATAATCTAACTAACATTACCTAACTATACAAACAGTCAAATCCATAACATGCTTTAACTCCTTTTCAAAGTAAATATTATCAAATTAAATACAAAAATAATAATATAATTAAACCATAAAACTAAGAGTAATATAAATTCTACCATATTAAACTATTAGTAATAATCTGAAATTTACTCATAAGCTAGATACTACTTTTTAGTCTCATATTTATTCTGAATATAATCTATCCATCTTCTCCAAATCGAAATATATCTTTCTTGTGAGTAGTCCTTCAAATAAGCGGAAATCTTTGCCATTTCTGCTAAATTAGACACCTTGAGTATCCATTCTAACATAGTAGGCAAAGAATCTTTCTTCCAATATTGCCCCACAATCTTGCAACTGTTATAAGATTCAACATCAAATTAATTTCTTTAACATCAAAATCTACAATAATACCTAACAAAAATAATTGTGGCGTAAACTTTATCTTTCTCTTAAAAATCTTTTGAATGTTCCATCAAATCTTAATCCAAAAAGCTTTTATATTTCTACACGTCCACCAAATATGAAAATAAGTTGCATCTAAGCTTCCACATCTCCAACATGGCATTATTTATTATTTATTACTTGTCTAATTTATATAGCTGCTTATCTCACCAAACAAATGACTCTAGTAGCCTTCTAACTGTACCTTTGTAGCATAGTGGTTAAAGTTGCTGCCCACAGCCTGGAGTTCAATCCTTTCAGAGCTCAAGATTGACTCAACCTTTCATCCTTCTGAGGTTGGTAAAATGAGAACTCAGATTGTTGGCGGTCAATATGCAAATGATGCTTCTATATTGTAAACCACCCAGAGAGTGCTGTAAAGTGCTATGGAGCAATATATATGTCTAAATGCAATTGCTATTGCTATTGTATGGCCTCACAATTCAAAGGAAGCCTGGAATATCCACAATGGATTAGTCAGTCAATGATGCAGTCTTGAGTAACATGTGGCAAGTGTCTTAAAATTCTGTTCTAGAAAGGTCTTCCTGTCCTCCAGCAATGCTGATGTAGTACTCAATTTCCTTTGATGTATTCAGTAAAAGACTACAAGATAAGATAAAGCAGAAGGAATTGTTTGTTTCTGCACTACAAGGTTTCTCCCCACCCTCATAAACACAAACGTGTTCCAAGTCCTAGGTTATTTCTTTCCCTTAAGCAAGAAATCGTATTGCCTTGAACTATGTAATTATTTTAACTGCCCGTTTTTAAATTTTATATTAAGAGAAAGCTGAATGAAATTCGATTTCCAATTTGCCTTGTCCGTCCCCCAAAAAAGCATTCCTCCCCTTTTTCATTACAGATATGATTACAGGACGCAGAATAGCCTAACATTATTTTTTTGTAAGGCACTCAGAGTCACTGAGAGTTAGTGGGGCAGCCATATACGTTCTCTTAAATAAATAAGAACCAAAATAAATATTACACTTACTTGGCTGTATAGAAATAAATCAGATTGGCAGTTTTAGTAGATAGTTCAAAAATGAAACCTGCAATATATAGGCAGTCCTCGACTTACAACAGCTCATTTTAATGACTGTTTGAAGTTACAACGGCACTGGAAGAAGTAACTTGTGGTCATTTTTCACACTTACGACCACTGCAGCACCTTCCCCCATGGTCACGTGATCAAAATTCAGATGCTTGGCAACTGGCTCATATTTAGGATGGGTTGCAGTGTCCTGGGGTCAAAGTCAATGGGGGAAGCCAGATTCACTTAACAACATTACTGACTTAACAACTGCAGTGATTCACCTAACAATTGTGTCAAGAAAGGCCTTAAAATGGGGCAAAACTCACAATAAATGTCTCAGTCACAGAAATTTTGGACTCAGTTATGGTCGTAAGTCGAAGATTGCCTGTGATGCTGAATTTATTCTCCTATCAAGATAAGCTAAGGATGTTATCCTTCTATGCCCTCATCTAGCATTTTAGGTTTTTTTAAAAATAATTTTTCCCTAACTTTCTGCAAAGTTCCCAAGCAATGAAATATATTGTCTTTGCCTTTTTTTGCTTGCCTTGGTGCTCTCTGAGCTTGACTGTTTGCAGACATTTCATTACCCAACTAGGTAACATTGTCAATGCAACGTCTGTAAGCAAAGACACTGATAATGTTACCTAATTGGGTAATGAAATGTCTCCAGGCAAACAATCACGTTCAGAGAGCACCAAGGGCTCCATAGTTCAACTACATACAGTACATACTCTTTCTGCTTAAGTCTTCATTTTTTCACCATTACCAAAGGAGTTAAGACCTCCCCCTTCAGCTCGGCCTTTAAAGTCTACTAAGGCTTATTTTAATTATTGTTGCCTTTTAAAATTAGCTTAGAGAGGCATATTATTTTTTTCTGCCTGGTGCTCACAATGGAAGGAAGGGTACAAATTGAAACTATTAAACATGAGATAACTACTAAGCACCCCGCTCTCTCTTTCTCTCCTCTATGCTTCTGATTTATTTATTTATGATATTTACGAAGACCTACATCTCTAACTATGCAAAGGAGTGTTCAAGAAGACAGGAACAAAACACAAAACTGCCAAATACATAATATTATTACAATAATCTTGTATGTGG